GGTAGTGAAAATGGAATGCCACACACAATATAAAGTTATGCTATTTATTTTATTATGCTTTATTATTTATCTTTATGTGTGCTGAGGCTCAAACCCAGTACCTCACACATGCTAGGTGAGTGCTTTACCACTGAGCCACAACCCTAGCCCCCAAAGTTATGCTTTTAAAAGAAGCATAAACTGAAATCATTTTTATTTTGCTTTAGAAAGAAAAATAAATGTGAGTACACTGAAATAAGACTAGATATTGGGATACTGGATTAGATATGTTGAAAATACTTTTTTTTTTTTTTGCAGATAATCATTATGACTGGAATTAAAGAATTGGAATACAAGGAAATGTCATAGGTTTCTTGGAATTCTTTTATAAGGTCCCTGTATGTAGTATTATTTATAAAATATTTCCATCTGCTTAATCTTATTTGACCCTGATAACCACTGGGTCATACAAATTATCATTGTTTCCATTTTATACATAGGACAATGCAGAGTAATATTTAATGACTTTAGTATCTCATTGATAATATGTAGCCTGATTAGGATTTGAACCTATCTTCAAGCCTCTATTTTCTCTGTGATGCCAAATTTATCCTGATAAATTTTCTCAGTACATTTAGAAAAGTATAAAAATAGTTACAGAGAGTGGACCTATTAATTGAAGATCTCCTTCCCCTATCAGCAAACTGAAGAGTAGTTGACGAATTAGACACTTGGGCTCACGAGCACCAAGGCAGCTTGACTGACAGAGTATTGCCAGAGAAAATGGTGGCAGCCCATTATTTCCCCAAGACGCGGCACTCTGGCTACTAAGTCTAATTCCCAACAGTCGTTATACAGGTGGGAACTGGTAAGTAACATTTGCCCTTGTGATACAGGCAGAGTAACTGGAACAAAATACAATTGTGGCAAGACATCTTCATTCTACTTATTCTGTGTACCCAACCAGAGAAGTGGGACTCTGGTTAATTGAGAAATCTAAGATATTGATGAGGCCAGGCTTACCATGAATAGTGAAAGAAAAATATAATCAGCGTCATGCATTTGGCTGAGACTTTAGTGCTACAGAGACTGTGATACCTGCGTGGAAAGCTGCCAAGAAAGGAGTAAAAAAGTGCACTATGCCCTCTGACCTCAACAGGAGCTCTATCATGATTCCTGCTGGGTGGCCATCCATGGGCTCCCATTTATCTCTTAGACTTTTCTAGCAAAAAATCATCCTGCTTCAGATCGAAGACAGAAGATAAACAGTCATGTCTTGTAACCCAGGGAAGTAATGCTAGAAACTGATAGCCCAACACAGCTCAATCAATATCACCAGGCGATGCCCGTTGGTGGGTTTTCATCTAGTTATTTCTCACAGTCAAAGCTCTCCCAGTGGAGAAGCAGTTAAGACATCTTCTGTCTCTTCTCTCTTCCATGGAAAATGTTACTGCTTCAGTTCATGTTCTTGTCATCTCCTGAATGCATTACAGAGAGTCCCCGGCTTACAATGGCCTGACTTACCATTTTTCTGCTTTATTGTGGTCCAAATCAATATGCAGTCAACAGAAACTGAACTTTGAATTTTGATGTCTTCCTGGGCTAATGATATGTGGTCTGATACTCTCTTGCAAGGCTGGGCAGCTGCACCACAATTGCCAGTCAGCCATGGGATCTGACAGCAATCAACTGATACTCTGCAGTATCCTGCACTGCTAGGCTTTTGGTAGGTTGGTTGAATGCAATGCACTTTCCACTTAGGACATTTTAACTTACCATGGGTGCTGACGCATAACAGAATGCCTATTGTCAGTGGAGGGAGTGTCTGTGTAACCATAATCCAAGCTAGTTTCTCTACCCATGCTTTCTCCTTTCTCCTGCCCACTCTTGATAGAATAATTATCTATCTTTTTTAAAGATACATCTTTGTGTACATTAGGTCCTTAATTTTTCACTCCTTCCTGAACCTACACCCTTCACCTCAGACTTTGCAGTTCCTACCAAAAAAGGGGAGGAGAAGATCTCCCACCCCTTAATTTTGAGTTTGACCACAAGACTTGTTTCAGCCAATAGAATGGGGTAGAAGTGATGATGTGGTAGTTCCCAGCCCTGGCTTTAAGGAACTTGTAAGATTTTCTTTTTCTTACTTGTGCTTCTGCCATTGCCAGGAGAGGCATATGCCTAGCTTGGTTGTCATTTCCACTGTGAAAAAAATTCTCTAGCATAATTAGATACCCTATTTCCACTCCATCTACAATAATCAGACATTCCTTTCTTTATGCTTCCATGACATTTGGTTGCAGTTTTGGGTATACCCCTCACCCCCAATACTGTATTAGAATTGGTTGCTGTGGCCGACTGACTAGTTGTTTACCTAAATCTGTGTTCCTCCCCTCTTCATGTCACATCACAGATCCTGACGTTGTTCAGTGGGGCAATGTTCCCAGCCAGCCCTGAATCTCTCCCTCTATTTCCCAGGGCTCTGTTGCATGCAGAATAATGCAATTCTGATGGATGTAGTTGTTTTCATTTCTGCCTCCTCCAAAAGGTGCAATGGCCTCTAATAGGGCCAGGAAATAAGTCTTATTCATTTTTGAATCTTTAATGCCCAGCACATAACCGATCCTGATACAGCCTTGTTGAATTGAGTTGAAATATTCGCATGACCTGAGAGCTAAAAATATTTGGGTGTTCTAAGTTAGGTTTAATTCTTGAAAAAATTCTAATTGGTGCATTATAATTTTATACATAATAGTGGGATTGATTATGGTTTCATCTTTTTAGTAGAAATCCTAGAATATCAACCCTCCTTTCTGCCCCTAAACTCACTTCCTTTTAATCTTCTGCCTCTGCCACCATATTGTCATGTACCTTAGGGAGAACTGAAAGAGGTGAACATTGCTAACACTTGAGTCTGAACCCTTGAGGACCCTATTTTACCACCTATACAAACTTAAAGCCAAGGCTAACAAGCTTTCCCTCCTGTTGATGAGTTACTTCTCTTTAATACTGGAGTGGGCCAAGATGGTTAGAGGGATAACTCTTTCCTCCCCCTACCTCTGTTGCAGGACCTCCATCCACAATTTGTACCCATATCTGGGTACAAAAGATCTTTTGGATTGAATGTAGTTGAGTTTGTTAAGTAGGTCTGCCAGGATCTGCCTTTTGAGTAGAAAAGGGTGTAATGTTGATCAGAGCACAAAGTTGATGAATTTGACTGAATTATTTGTAGTGTAGTGGTGGAGAGGATGCAAGTACCAGAAGGGACTTCTTGCATCTACTTTCTAAGTTCCTTTTGATAGTAAGGTTCTTTGATTCTAAGAGCCTGCGGTGGTTTGAATATTGAGGGCTCTTCCCCACATCACAGTGGTGAGTCCTCCGAAGGCTCACAGATATCCTCAGGCCTGAAAGTTAATGCCTTAGAGTTGATACACCATTGTTTCAAGATGGAGATCTGTTATGACACACTTTCTCACTTGAAAAGTATTTATCTTTTCAAAGTATTTTGCAGCTTCTGAGACTGCATGGTGGGAACCACAGTTGTCTCTGAGTGCTCACATAGGTTTGGGCCCAGAACCCCCTCAAAACACCCAATATGTGAATGCTTATTCTCTTAAATGAAATGACATAGATTTGCATATAACCTATGCACTTCCTCCCATGTACTTAATTTCTATCTTGAATATAGTTTTATTTTTAATTAATAGCAATTGTACATACTTATGGTGTACATCACGATGCTTTGACAAATTTGTACAATGTGTAATGATAAGATTTGGTAACTATAACCTGAGACATTTGTCATTTTTGTATGTGTATATTGGGATCATTCAAAATCCCCTCTACTAGCTATTTTGAAATATTTAATTAATTGTTGTCAGCTATCGTTGTCCCACAGTGCTGTAGAACATTAGAAGTCATTCCTTCTATTTAACTGTATCCCTGTATCTATTAACCATCCTTTTCCATCCTTCCCTCCCCCAGGTTTCCAGGCTCTGGTAACCACACTATTCTATTGTCCATTTATTTGAGATAATTTATTTTTTAGCTTCCATATGTAAGTGAGAAGATTTCATATTTGTTTTTCTGTTCTTGGCTTATTTTACTTAACATAATGTCCTCCAGTTCCATCTATGTTGCTGCAAATGACAGAATTTCATTTTTTTGTGGCTGAATAATATTCCATTGCTTATACACATTTTCTTTATAATATATATTCTTTATAATATATATAATATATTTATATAATATATATTATATATATTCTTTATAATATATATATATATATATATATATATATACCACATTTTCTTTGTCTATTCATCTGTTATTGGACACTTACCTAGGTTGATTCCATGTCTTGGCTATCGTGAACAGTGCTGCAATAAATATGTGAGTATAGATCTTTCTTTAACATGTCAATTTCAATTCCTTTGGATATATAGCCAGTAGCAGAACTGCAGGATGACATTGTAGTTCTATTTCTAGTTTTTCGAGGCATCTCCATACCATTCTCCATAGTGATTGTATTGATTTACATTCCCACCAACACTGAGAATTTCCCTTTTCCCACATTTTCACCAGCATTTTTGTCTTTTTTGACAATTGTTATTGCAACTGCTCCTTATATACTTATGTTATTTTATTTTTTTTGGTACTGGGAATTGAACCAGGGGCACTCAATCATTAAGCCGCATCCCCAGCTCTTTTTATATTTTATTTAGATACAGGGTCTTGCTAAATTTCTTAGGGCCTCACTAAGTTGCTGAGGCTAACATTTGAACTCGTGATCCTCCTGCTTCAGCCTCCCAAGCTACTAGGATTACAGGAGTGCACCTCCACATCTGGTACTTCCTATATACTCTTAACTATATGTAGATTGTTTATAATATCTAATGCAATGTAAATGCTATGTAAACAGCTTTTATACTATATTATTTAGAGAATAATGACAAGAAAAAAAGTATATAGATGCTCAGTACAGGCTCAATTTTTTAAAATATATTTTGATGCTTGGTTAGTTGGATCCATGGATGAGAAGCCCACAGAGACAGAGGGCAACTATATTTTCCCGCTGAGAAGCTGAGCTCCACTGAAGTCAAACAATCTGCCCAAGGTCACTCAGCCAACGTTCTACAGCACCAGTGTCACCAAAGAGACACTATATTCTGAAAGCAATCCTGCCAAGGGCCAGGTGAGCCACAGTGAACAGAACTTGAGCATCTTCTATGTCCCTGGCATTGAACATCTCGGTAGTTCTGGGAAGCAGGTTGAACATTTTGTCCCTTCCTCCAGGGAGTGTGACTGGAGAAATATCCTGAAGTTCTAGGACATCAACCCTGCTTCTTGGCAGGCAGGCAGGTATCTAACAATGTAAGCAGAAGATTTTATCCTGCTTCTTACTATTCTTTGGGGCAAAATTTCTATTTTATCTGATTATGTCAAAAATTTAAAAAATACTTCAATATGCCCAATTTCTATCCTTGTTTTTGGTTAAACCGTCATCCTTTTCTTGGACCTCGTAGCTATAAAATATCTGATTACATTTGTTTGAGATTAAAATTTGAGGTGAAAAGTGTTGGGTAATTATTACCTACTTTTGTGAGAGTATATCTAGTGACAAAAGGAATAAGGTGGTAATGGAAACTTCACTTCCATTTTCTTTAAAGTTGTGAAGAACATAATCCTTTTAAATACCCTGCAAGCTTTATTATATTGTACTATAAAGCATATTTAAGTAATATGTTCATTTAAAAATATCTGTATTGAATATGATTCATATACAATGTCATTCATCCATTTGAAGTATATGATTCAATGTGTTTTAGTATATTCAGAGGGTGGTGCGACTACTATCATAATCTAATTTTTGAACATTCTTTTTTCTTGGAAAGAAACACCATACCTATTAGCAGTCACTTTTTTGTACCATCAATCCAACACTAAACATGTGACTATTTTTTCTTCATATAGTCGCCTATTCTGGATATTTTAAGTAAATGGAATCATACTATATATGGTCTCTTGGAAATAATTTTTAAAATTTTCTATGTTTTCTAGATTTACCCATGTTGTAGCATGTACTAATGCTTCATTATTTTTATGGCTGAATAATATTGAATGAATACCATTTTGTTATTCATTCATCTATTGATGGACAGTTGGGCTATTCCCACTTTTTGGCCATTATAATAGACTAGTATGAATATTAATGTGCAAGTTTTTGCATGTGCTGGAGTTTTCAATTTTCTAGGTTTATGTCTTCCAGTCTTACATCTTGGAATGGAATTGCTGGGTCATATGGTGACATTATGTTTACCTTTTTGAGGAACTGGCAGACTATTTTCAATATATTTATTTCAAGGAAGTCATGGGAGGGAGGGAGGAGAGAGAGAGAGAGAGAGAAGAGAGAGAGAAAGAAAGAGAAGGGTGTTGGTGCCACTGGGAGCTGTGGTGTATGCTCACCCAGAGCAGCATTGGGTCCCAGGTTCATTGCTGTCATGGGAACAGTTCCAAGCTAATCTATAGAAGTGCAAAAGGTGTTGGTTATGCTTTGCCAAGGCTCCAAGAATGGCCTAGAATCAGAGTTTTTGATTGGGATAAAGATGGAATAGGAGGTTCATTTTTGACCTTGGAACAAGATGGCGAGACCAACACATTTTGTTTGTCAGCTGAGGCAATTGCTGTAAACAACAGACTTCCTGCCAAGGCTCTCCTGGTACCAGCCTGCCCCACTCAATGGCAGGCCTGGCTGGGATAATGTTTTCTGGCCACCTTTGTCCTTTCATCTGCTTAAGCTAGTTACACTGTCACTTTGAGCTCTGGCTTTGCTCTCTCTGGCTCTGATTTCTCTGGAAAGGCTGCTGTCCAGATGTTTAGGTATTTAGCAAATGCACTTTTCTGATGCTTTGGCAGGGTTACTTTCAGATGGGGATGAATATTTGATGCTGTTGGCTGTTGGGAACATGTACACTCAAATGACCAGCAAAGTCCCTGCTTCAAACTCTTTAATTCCTTTTATAATGTCAGCTGATACATCATTTAAAGCAAAACTCATAAAGGAGCAGAGGGAAAGCTATTCCTATATTTGACCTTTGCCCTCTCTTATGGATTATACAAAGGCTTCTCACATTATAGGTAAGATTGCCTTGTTTAGGTCTCTCCAGTGTATAGAGCAGCACTAATGACTGTTTCCATCTTTTTCTAGGTATTTGCTTCTCCCTCTTTAAAACCACCCTTTCCCTACCATACAGAAACTAATCCACTGAGCTCTAGAGCCTGGTCCACTACTTCATGTCTTTTTTAAAAATTAATTAATTAATTAATTTTAATCAGATATATATGACAGAAGAATGCATTTTGATTCATTGTACACAATTGCAGTACAACTTTTCATTTCTAAGGTTGTACACTATGTAGCGTCGCACCTACTTCATGTTTTTGATGCTTTTTAAGCTAAAAATACCTTAGACAATATTTAGATCATCTTCATGGTTTTCAGATTGGTGAACTGATGCTAGAGAGTGGAAAGAACTTCTCAAGGCCACGAGATCAGTGGACAACCTGCCTCACCTCCCACACCTTTCCCACTGCCTCCCTGGCCTCAAACTTTAGTATCCCGAGACTCTGGTACTGCCCACCATTATATCTCCATGTGTCTAACTCAGTGCTAGGAACATGTTCCTAGAACTAGTCTGTCTAGGTTTGGATGCTGACACCAACAAATACTACTTGGGTGTTTGTGTAGAAGTAACTAGCTATCTTTGTCTTACTTTCTTTAAAAAAGGCATCTAAAGGCACTTACCTTAAAGTATCTTTGTAAAAAGTAAATGAATGAATACTTTAAAAGTGAATAGAATAGTGCAGAATAGGGGTTCAAGAAGTTGGCTATTAGCATTATAATTGAATGGTTTATCAACATGTATAAGTTCTGTGATCCTTCCCCCAGGGGTCAGCTTAATGTCCTCCAATCTTGTTAACTCCCTTTTCTAAACAACTACAGCTTCACTCTGGGCTGGGAGGTGGTGCTAAGAAAAGCAGACTGGTGGGGTTGATGCTTTAGATTGGAGGCCTTTTGGGTATAATAATTTCATCCTTGATATTAGTCCAACCTTGGCTATTTCCATGAGGATTTTATGGGCACTTGGAGGGATAAGCACACTCTTTGTGTATGAATAGTTTTTTGCTTCCATTTATCACTAGTCTGTGTTATAGTAGATCTTGTCTCAATCATTTCATTCATGAAAAATCCTTTGTACATTTAATATACTTTTTGTGAGGGTCCCCAACTCCTTTAAGCTTTGCTTAGAAACACTGCAAACAAAGTTTTTAGCATCTCAAAGGGAAGCTTAATCTGATAAAAATGTAAATTGTAGACAACCAGTGCTTTGCTGAACAGTTTACTTCTGGGTATACAGTGTAACTGGCCTAACATGAATGCTGTCATTGGGAGGTTGCCTCTATTCTTGATGGCCTGTGGGCTGGCTGCATTGTGCTTAGGGACCTACAGATCCATTTGAGAGGGTTTGTGGATGGTCTACATCATGTCCAACACTCTTAAAAAGCAGCTCAAACTTATGATGCCCAGGGCCAAAGGAGTGGGCAGAGAAACCTGTGTTCCTTTCCCGCTTCTTTCTGTATCACCTACCCATCCTTTCTCCAATTCCATGAATTCAGGGGTGCTGAGATGAAAGGGGTTCCCCTAGGTTATTGGCCTCCTGGATAGGATACTCCAAGGCAGGAGTATGCCATGGAAAAATGGATGATTCCTAAATGTTGACATTTCAGATGTGACCCTTGTGTCAGAAGGATGCTTAGATAGATGAACCTTCCTGAGACCTTTCCACTTTTAATGTCTAATAGCTACCTATGATTTTTAAATACCGGTTTGAAGCTTGAAATAATATACTCACTTGGGAAGCTTTTAAAAATAAATTCCCTGGACCATAGAGTTTTCTAGTTAGTGTGGCTTCAGTACAGCCCAGGAATCTTTATTTTTATAAAAGATCCCCCCAACAATTCTATTGTATAGTCAGGCCTGCAAACATCTCACTCAGGGGCTCTCATTCTGGGCTGCACATTGGCATCACTCTCTAGGAATCTTTTTAACAAAGTGCCCATGCCATGCTGCACCCCTGGACACTGGTTTCATTTGTTTGCATGAGATGTACTTTGGGGCTCAGTATTTTTTTAAAGGTTGCCAAGTGAATCAAGGTGCAACCAAAGTCGAGAGCCATTAAAAAATTGAAAGTTGACTATTGACTACTCCTTTTTTAAGATTGTGATGAACTTACTGCCTGCAGGTGCCACAGTAGAGACCACCCACTTCAGTGGTTCCCAACCCCTTCTGTTTTATATAGACCAGTACACTTCAAAAGATACTTTGAGGACTCACAAAGTGTTGATTTTTTTTTTACCACTTTTAATTTTGCCAAGCTGAGACCTTAAAGCCAAAAACTAGATTCAGCTGTCATTTATTCATGCCATTATTTAATTTAAAAAATGAAGTTGTAACATTATGTATTAGATAGACCTGAGGTCAAGCTAAAGGACAGTCCTTAAGACTGAATGTGTCTGACATTAAGAGGGACTTGCTACACAGTCCTTATCTTTCCTCATTTCTGTGAGAACTGTGTTATGGACCAGGATCGGTTCAAGTGCAGTTGACCTCTGAGCCAAATTCATAATTTTATGTGGCCGGAAACTGAGACCTGGAGAAAGGAAAGCAGTTGGTTCAGGTCCCATTGGAGGCAGCAACAAGGCTGGGACTAGAACTTGCTCTCCTGATGTCCTGGTCACATACTCCATACGAGGCTCTGAGGCTAAGTCTGACATCCCAAGGTCTTCCCATTTGATGTGCATGGGGAAGAGCCTCTGGGAGTGACTGCTCAGTCTTCCCAGCCACCCTCAGGCACACTTAGAACAGATGCCAGGGCTACCAAAGAAAGAGCTCTGTGACAAGGCGTCATCCTCAAACCTTTAGCAATGATGGAGCATGATTATGTGGGTCTTTGGAGTGACAGAGGGGAAACTTCTGTTGCAAAACAGAGGTGTATATTACAGTTCTGTCACACTAGGACACTGTGCTTTGAACATTAAAACTCTGTGAAGAATTAATTTTCTGATTATCTCCTGCAGAGTCGCAGCCATCTCTTCCCCTATGTTGCTGTTATTTTTAATAAGTCAACAAATTGTCTAATTCTCTTGGAAATTCTTTGATTTTAGGAAATGGACATTTTACACAATTGCCTTGGAGAAGTTAAAAAAAAAACAGATTTCCAAATGCATTATCAATAAGTAGGACATTCTGATCCTGAGATTGGAAATGGAGAAGACATGGTGAGTTTTGGGGTTCAGAGGTTCAATTCAGTAAGTGAAGGAGGTGAGGGAGAATGGACATTAGCATAAAGCTTATTTCCACTGAAGGACTGGAGGAGGGACTGTGGAGTGCAGGCCGAGAGACAACTTGGATCTCAAGTCCACCTGAAGTAGTCAAGTTCACTGCCTTGAACTGCCGGGGAATGGAGGGGGACAGGGACCTACTCAAGTGCCACCCTTGAGCTGTCCTAGAGGGCAGAGCTATGACTTATTGTCTCCTAACACAGTTCTGGTAATACCTATTTTGTTGAAATGAAGTGGCTTTTAGGGACCCAAAGGCATTTCCCTACATTGAAATCAGGTGATATCTAGAAATCCAGACTTAACCAGGGCAGTTTTGCGGGGATGGGAAGAGTGAGCCTTGGAGCAGTCAGGAGGGAGTTGTGTCTGCCACGAAGCCATTGGATGGCTGCCCTGAAAATGGGTCATGAAGGTGCCCTCAATGAGAGGGAGGAACATAGAAATGTCATCGACCTCATAATTTTGCTGAAATCTGGCTCTGCTTCCTCAGCCCATTCTTCTGAAACCTATTTCCTGGAGCCAAACACTGCAGGATTATTACCCCAGCTCCAAATCCCTCTGGAAATTCAGGTTCCTCTGGGATCCCACCTTCTAGAGGTAAAACAGTGAACTCAGTTCCCTTTAAAACCATCATCTGGCTTAATTTTTGACCTCTTTCCTAATTTCTAATTTAGTCAGATAAACCCACATACCTTAAAACCATGCCCTGCCACCCCCCCCCATTGGTTTCTAGGCTCATTTAAGTACCATTGGAAGGGAGGAAGGGAGCTCCCTGCTTAGCTGGCTCCCTGCACTGGGGCACCCTGTCTCTCAGGAACATGGAGACAAGACACCTACCCTGTCTGCCATGAGGAAGGTGAAGGGAGCAGGGGAGCCCAGAGCCACGGAAGTGAAAGTGTTATGTGAAAGGTTGAAACAAAACACTTATTTCAATTAGAAGCAACTGGTGGAGACCTGGGAGATAAATGATGGGGCTCGGGTCACAGCAGATAGTGGTGGAGTTGGGCTAGAACAGGTTCCTTATCCCCTAGGCAGCAGCACTTTAGTCACTAGATTACACTGACCTTCTGATTGTCTGGTGGAATGGACTCATCTCTTCCCAAGCTTAGGCTCTCTGTGCATGTGTGCGTGTGTGTGTGTGTGTGTGTGTATGTGTATATATATACATATATATATGCACTTACACATATAATTATTTTTGTTCAATATGGATGTTAAAGGTCTTAGGCTATAGTAGTTTCTAGGGACTAATTTGAAAAATCTCTACTGCCTCTGTGTGTGTGTGTGTGTGTGTGTGTGTGTGTGTGTGTGTGGTATGTGTGTGTGTTTGTGTGCATGTAGTAATGCGTATGTCTTTGTGTGTTTCTGTATTATGTGTGTATTTTAGCTGGGGTGGGGTCAACTGAGCTGGGGAGAAGGAGGATCAGGAGGAATAATTCCAGGTGTCAGAGTGCCCAACCTCTGTTCTGAATTCTGCCAGGAACACTACCCCAGGAGCCCCAGCCCCTCCAGACTGGACCTGGGCGTGGACTGAGACTGGGAGCCACTGCCCTCTGCTGTACTAAGAGGTGAGTGCTTCTGACTTGCCAGCTTCACCTTGTCCTAGGTGGGGCCAGGGATGAAATAGAAGCCTGTTCCCCACGGAGTACAGGATCAGCCGATCCACAGGTGTTGGGGGGTCCTTTCACTCTTCTTTGAAGTTCTTAGCTGCAGGTGGTAGGGCAAAAGTACCTGACACTTGATTGTGGGTGGGGTCAGTCATTATTCTAGGGCCTCCCCAGGCAAGATCTGAAGATACTGGAAGCTTCCTGGTGTCATTGGAGGGTCAACACTCACATTTTTCCAATGCCACTCAAATTGAATACTCTTAAGGGGAAAGCCCCTGTTGGCTTTGGGCCAACCTTCTCATCTGTAATCACAGCACCCTGAGGGGAGAAGTCAAATACTGCTTCTGAATACGAGCTATCTACATTTGCACAGGGCACTATAATTTGTCAGCTCTATTCTCATGGGTCATCTCAGATGATCTTTATAAACCTGAAAGATAATCAGCACATCGATTATTCTTCTCACTTCACAGATGGGAAAACTGAGGCCCAGAAGGTTTACTGACCTTTGATTGACTTGGATGTGATTAGTTAAGACATAAAATGTACCTCCAGCTGGAATGAAATTCATCAGACTTTAGATTAAAATAAATTATGCTTCAAAACAGTGCCAAGCAAAACACTCAGTAATTAACAGGGACAGAATTCATAGCAGTGCTGTCCAGCTGCTTTCTAACAACTCTGGGGCCTGAGCTTATAGCTTAGCTCAGGTTCTAGAGCACATCCATTTTTACCAGGGTCACCAGAGCATCTCATGGTTGCTAACTGTTTCACTGACACTTATTTTCTTTTCAATAATAATAATGTTTATAGTTTTATGGTGTTAAATTTAAAATAATATATCTTGTTATATCCTCCTAATCTGTTTATAATACAAAGGCAGTAGTTATTATGGCTCCTGTTTTGCTGTTGCAGAAACTAAGGTCGGAAGAATTTTCATACCTTAGCAATTGATGTTTGCTTTCATGGTCTTTGTGCTCATGGAACTCACAGTCAAGTAGGGGAGAAAGACGCACAGATAAGTGCCTGCTTGAGTAGATAATGAATGTATATTATGAGTGTCATGAACTTGAGCAGGCACTATCAGCATGAATGGCAGGGTTCCTACCTGGTTGAGGCTGCAGAGAAGTTTCCCTGGAATCCATGGGTTAAGTGGAATTGGCTAAGAATATGGGGTTGAAACTCAGGGCACAGAGTAGTCCAGGCAGAGGTACTGGCAGTGTGATGGTCCTAAAAAAGGAGGTTTCTTGGAACATCCAAGGATCTGAGAAATCCAGTGCAGTGGAACAGAGAATAAAGGAGAGTGGTCTAAGGCGAGACTGATGAGGCCATATAGTATAAGTTAATCTTTCAGCCCAATCACACACCCAGGTGGAGGCAAGATGGGAACTAAAATGGTATTAGCTTTTGGTGAGTCCTTAATCTCTGTATTACTGTTCTCCCGCATTCTTCTACTTTCTATGCAAACCTATGGGCCTCAATTTTCCAGGACCATAGCTCCTCCCATCTCTGTCTCATGCTTCAGCTGTGTTCCCAACAGTATGTGTACTCCTTTGTCTCACAAATCAAACCCCTAATACTGCTTAAGCTGGGGGTTTGTCAACAGGTGAGGTACTTGAAAACCACTGCCTACTATATTATCAAGTGTTGGGGACTTGGCAAACTCGGCAAAGTATGGTAGAACTTTCTGTGATGGCAGAATGTTCTTTGCGCTGTCCTATATTGTAGCCTTTAGTTATGTGGCCAGCATTGACTGGGAAATGATTTTTTTTAGTTAACTTTATTTTGAACTTATATGGCCACATATGTCTAGTGGGCTACCATATTGAACCATGAAGCTCTAGCTATTTGTTTCCATTCTGGAGCGTGGGATCGATATTGCCGGAGACATTCCAATATTTTAAGAGAAGCCAGATCACTGAATTCTCATTTGAAATATTCTGATTTTAAAATTTTGGCAACAAATTGAAATTTTAAAGATATACTGTGGTACTCCTGCCTCTGGGAAAATGGAGTAGATTTTCTTATTCCTCTTGCTAAGTACAAAAAAATCCAGAATGTGATATATATATATCTCGTATCTATCTCTATACATCTCTATCTCAAGATCTTGGGACCTGTTATGGTTTGGATCTCAAATGTCCTAGAAAGGTTCATATGCTAAAGACTTTGTCACCCATCTGTGGCACTTTCTAGGTGCTGGGGCCTAGTGGAAGAAAGATGGTTCATTGAAGGCACACCCTTGAAGGCAATATTGGGACCAGGGCCCCTTCCTCTCATTCTTGGCTTCCTGGCTGCCCTGAGATGACAGCTTTGCTCCACTACATGCTCCCTACCACAGTGTTCTGCCTCACCATAGGCCCAAATCCAATGAAGCCAAGTAACTTTGGTCTAAAACCTCTGAAACTATGAATTAAAATAAAGCCTTTCTCCTTTTAAGTTGATTATCTGAGGGTGTTCATCATGGCTAGGGATAGTGGACTAATAGTATACCCAAGGTGAGATACAGTGGTCAGTTCTCTGGGTTTTCTTTTCTTTTTTTGTGCCTAAATTTTTTTATTAGTTGTTGAAAACATTACAAAGCTCTTGACATATCATATTTCATACATTTGATTCAAATGGATTATGAACTCCCATTTTTACCCCATATACATATTGCAGATTCACATCAGTTACACATCCACTTTTTTACATACTGCTATACTAGTGTCTGTTGTATTCTGTTGCCTTTCCTATCTTCTACTATCCCCCCTCCCCTCCTCTCCCCTCCACTCCCATCTTCTCTCTCTACCCCATCTACTGTAATTCATTTCTCTCTCTTGTTTTTTTTACCCTTTCCCCTCACTTCCTCTTATATGTAATTTTTGTAAAACAATGAGGGTCTCCTTCCTTTACCATGCAATTTCCTTTCTCTCTCTCTTTCCCTCCCCTCTCTCGTCCCTGTTTAATGGTGATCTTCTTCTCATGCTTATCCTCCCTATTCTGTTCTTAGTTGCTCTCCTTATATCAAAGATGACGTTTGGCATTTATTTTTTAGGGATTGGCTAGCTTCACTTAGCATAATCTGCTCTAGTGCCATCCATTTCCCTGCAAATTCCATGATTTTGTCATTT